AAATCCAAACAAGAGAAGAAATTTCTTCTTCCGATATCAAAAATATTTCTGAGACATCTAGTTATAAAAATGATTGGTTAAAAATTTGACGTGTACAAATGATACTTGCTTGTCGTCGCCTTCTTCGAGAAAACGAAAGAACTTTTTCTTCATTTCATTTGAGTTTCTGTTTTAATATACAATATTGATTGCATCATGTCTCAATCTTCATCATCAAGTCTTGTTTCAGTCAATCCACCATCAACAGTACCTTACATCAAATGTAATTTCTTGGATAAAGATACCGGTAAATGAATAATATTCTTCAACTTTGTTCTTTTACAAATAAATATTATCATATTTAGACCTTAATGAAAAACCTGTATGGAACAATGACATTGCTTTATTACTATCATATTGGTTACAACAACGAGCTAATCATGATGATATTTTTGGAAGGTAATTTTTCTACGCAGTTTCTATATAATATTTAATGATTTGTTTTATTTTTTTAGTTTTCGTTCTGCCAATGCACATACCGATAGTCTTGGTGAAGTGGATGTTATTTCCGATGCTGAGGTTTGTTTATTATATTCAATATAATTTTTATTTTATTTTTTTGTTTAAATAGCATATAAAAAAATTACTTAAAGTTCCATTTAATAAACATAGTCAGATATCTATGATTGTACATCGTCTAGGACGAACGATACTTCTCGATGAATTTGATGTTCATTCACATTTATTACGTCTTGAAAAGGTATGATTTATTAAATATTTCTTTTCCATGAAATTTTGTATTTTCTTTAGAATGAATGGACATGGTTTCGGGATTTTTTTCTTGATACAATTTTACGAAATATTTCAGTTAAACATTTTTATAAAAAAAATAAAACACGTGATGAACTTATAAGAAAAGATCGTTTGGTTAAATTTTTATGTCAAAGGTATTATACTTTTCTTCTTCTTCTTCTTCTTCTGTTTAATATTGAATATTTTAGTGTTGAATTACCACAATTAACACGTTCAAATTTAAATAATAATGAATCTCAATCAACAGCAACAGCAGCAGCACTTCTTGAACAAATCAAAGAACTTGTTAATGCAAGTAATAATCTTGAAGATGATAATGAAAAAGAAACAAATACAAATTTTACTTCATCACCATTTCAACGTACTGTAAATTGGACATTTGAAAATATGAAAATGTTAATTGGATCAGATCTACCAATTTTTGGTGATGAACAACATCCAGCTGTTAGTCTTCGTTTAAGAGATATGAATAAACCAATAAATGTTCTAACTGGTATTGATTGTTGGCTTGATAATTTAATGTGTAATGTACCGGAATTAGCCATGTGTTATCATGTTGATGGTATTGTTCAATCATATGAAATAATGAAAACAGAAGATATACCTTATCGTGAAGGTTGTCAATTTCCTCCAAGTGTTATTCGTGATTTAGCAACAAATCTTCTTTCATTTCTTAAATCAAATGCAACGAAAGAAGGACATACATATTGGTTATTTAAAGGTCCCGATGATGATATTGTTAAATTATATGATCTAACAAGTTTATGTGAAACAGATCGTGATGATAATCCATATACATTACCAGTTGCAAGTTTACTTTATAAAATGGCACATAATATCGTATTAAAATCTGATCTTGAAACACGTTCAAAAGAATCGGGTACAATACGTACATTACTTAAACATTGTTTAGATATGCTTGATCCAGAAAAATTTCCTGAATATCATTGTGCTGCTGCATATATGATGTCGGATCTTTATATTGATGATAATATCAATGAACAAAGTTGGATGTTTAATGGAAATGAAACATCTGAATCAGATTTATTAAACGATGATGTATGAAAATATTTCAATGAAATTTTATTTACATATTTTTTTATTTTTTTAGTTCATATTTGAAGGAGAAAAAGACTCCGTTACATGTGCTTGTGTTGATATTAAAACATTAGTACAATCACAACAACATCGTTTTCGTAAAAGTTTAGATGTACCACGATTTGGTCCTATTCATGGAAATCTTGATGGACGTGCTAGAGAAGCATTGAAATATTTAGTTGCGGTAAGATTAATTTTTTGGATATAGAAAGTGAATTGTTGAAATTTTTCTTAAAGGCACTGCGTAGTAATGCAATTCATCGTCGTTTACAAGCAGCTACATCAAATTCTGATGAACAAGAACAAACATTAGATGAGACAATTAATAAATCAAAAGTGATTATACCATTACCATATCAAACTACTCGACATTGTACAAAATTTTTAATTGATAATCAAAATCATTTAACTGGTGATCGACGTTTAAAAGCAATTATATTACATAAAGCAGCATCAGCTTATTTTGCACTTGTTCATCGATATGAACAGGAAAGAAATTATGGTTCTTGTTTACGTTATCTTCGTTTAGCACTTAATTGTCATAGTATGAAATTTTGATTTCGATTTTTCTTTTTCATTATTTTTATATTTAAGGTGCTGAATTAAAACTTCAATCGATTGATCAAAATAATAATACTAATACTAATATTGAATGTAAAAAATTATTATCCTATATTATGAGTGCAGCTGGTGATTGTCGTTTAATGATATCACATGTAATATCAACAGAAGAAATTGAAAAATTTCGTGAACAATATCATGTTATGAATGAAATTGATTATGAAATACAAAATGTTATTGATGAAGTTGGAATAGATGAAAATTATTCCGGTAAAATCATGTCTTTGTTTTCTTTAAAATTTATTTTTTTTTTGCAGAATTTTCTTGGGTGTTTGAATTAACACCAGTTATTGAACGTAATCTATTTGCTAGTGCACATGCATATGAATATGCACTTAATATTATTCGAAATGTTGAAAATCAAGAAAATCAACGTTGGTTTTTATTAACAAAACGTTTAGGTAACGCAAGAAATGAAATGGGTGTCTATTGGATGAATCAATGTGCTCAAGCAATAAAAAATTTCGATCAAGAAACGACGAAAGTAAATGAAAATGAAATTATTTTTAACATTTCTATGAAATTTTGTTTAGGAAATCAAAGATTATTTTCGAAAAAGTTTCGAATATTTTGATGGTGGTATTCAAGCATTTGAAAAAATTCATGATGTATCAAATATAGCATTATTAAATTCTAATCTGGGACGTTTAATGAGATATTATGCACAATTTTATGCTCCAATTCGAAATGGTATTCGAGAAGAATTTTCTCAACAAGAACGACAAAGTTATCATAAAGCATTTGATTATTATCTTCGAGGATTAAAATTAGTTGAAAATCGTTCCGATTTCTTTGAAGTTTATCGAACATTATCATGGGAATTATCGAATAGTTATTTTGCAATGGCAACATCACTTCAAGATCATGCACCATTAAGTACAATGACCCAAGAAGATGTATGTCACATGAGAAGTTAATCTCACATTATATATTTCTTTGTAGGTTGAAAAAGAAGTTATTGAATGTATGACACGTGCATTAAAATATCTTGATGTTGAACTGAATTATTCATCGTCCGATCGTTCTCCTCTAGCAAAATATCGAGCTGGTACTATTCATCATCGATTAGCATCGTTATTACACAATGCTTTTCGTACTGAAGTATGTTAAAACTTAATTATGAATAACTTCCGAATATTTTATAATTTTATTTAATAGGAAAATAAAACTCGTCGAAAACATTTACGTTCATTAGCTTCATTACATTATGAAAAAGCTTTGAAATTATTTTCACCACATGATAATCCACTTGAATATTTACGTCTTTTAGTTGAAGAAGTTGCTTTAGCTGATTTTGAACTTCAAAGTAATTATCTATTTTTATTCTTTAAACAAAAACCTCAACAATTAAATTTTTTAGATGCAAATGAAAATTCATCACGTTTAAAATATTCTCAACAAGGTTTACGTGCATCATTTCATTGTCAAGAAACAATTGGTATTATTAATCAACATCGAACAAGTTCCGACCCGGATGATTATAATGATATGTTTGCACAAGAAGCCCAACGTCTTTTAGCAATATTAAATGGACGTATACAAGCATTTCTTAAAGAAATTGTTAAAATATTAAAACTTACAAGTAGTAAAAAATTAATCTATGAAGATTATAAAGAAATGTATAGTATATCATTACGATTAAATGATACAGCACCAACATTTCCAAAAGATTTATATGATGCAATTGAACGTTTAAAAAAGATTTATGAAAAAAATACCAGTGACTAATAAACCCTAAACACATTTATTTGTTTGTAATTTAATATGTTTCTCTCTCTGTTATGTTTTTGTCGTAATTATTTTCTATATATTTGTCTTTGTCTTTTATTAAACTTGAAGATGTGATCTATTTACAGATGATAATAATGCGGAATTTTTAAAAATTATGAGTCGATTAAATACATCATTAAAATATAGATATTATAGTTTTTATATTCGAAATTATTTTTATTCAAAGTGAGAGAATTTGAATCTATTGATCTATTCAAATATATATCTAATGTATAATTAAAGATTAAAGCTATGGAAATCCAAACGTCTTGGAATATTAATTATAATTGGTATTCTTGTAGTTTTTATTAATGAAGTTTTATTTTATGAATGGTCATATCTTAATTGGCCAAATATTGAAGAGTTAGCAAAAAAGTCTACTGTTGAAAAACTTCTTCTTGTTGCTGATCCACAATTGATTGGTGAAAAAGATGAAGGTATATTTGGTTTTATAACTAGATATGATGCTGATCGGTAAGTCTATTTCTTGATTTCTATTCTTAAATCTTCTCTCTTTTTTCTATAGATATCTTGCTAAAACATTTACTCAAGTTAATGGTTATGTTAAACCACATTGGGTTCTATTTTTAGGTGATATATTTGATGAAGGTTTATCAGCATCTGATGATGAATTTAAACGATATTTCGAACGATTTGATTCAATATTTGATTATAAAAAATACGAACATCGTTATATCATTGTTCCGGGTGATAATGATGTCGGTGGAGAATATTATGGTGATAAAAAACCAATATTAAAAGAACGTTTTCGAAATTATTTCGGTCGAACTACTGCTTTGTATCATCAAAATGATATACAATTTTTAAAAGTATTTTCTATTGTTTAGATTTGACAATTATTTTATTATTTTTTGTAGTTAGATATCGATATGTTTGATCCATATATAGACGGAAAACGTACTGCAATAATGGAACAAATGCAAACTCATCCTATGACAGCAATATTTCGTCTTATATTAAATCATTGGCCAATATTAAAACGTACAACTCGTTTTGTTAAACCATTTATAAATGATTTAGAACCAAATCTTATACTTAAAGGTGATAGCCATCATGTATGTAAAAACACATTTTTTTTTAGTTTATATTTAAAATATATTTTATTTTTAGTTTACTATAACTTCATACGATCGAGTGAATATGATAAATAAAATTCTAGCTGAAGAATATCTTTCACAAACATTTTTTACATTAAATTTAAATGATAAAAATTTTGTTTATGAAATTTCCGTTCCAACATGTTCATATCGTATGGGTGTTCAACGAATGGGATATGTTGTTCTTTTACTTGATAGTGGTAAGTTTTTATTATAATATAAAAGATTATTTATCTGAATTTAATTTAGAAACTAAAACGGTTCATCTAACAATTCTTTCAACACCAAGAAGAAATCCAGCATTGTTTCTTTATTTATTTTATGGAATATTTGCACTTATTTTTTTAATTGTATCATCACTTTTTTCACGACGAACTCTAGTGCAATTATTAGCACATCTACGTTAAACATACATCTTTATTGTATATATATTTTTCCATTTTCTTATATAAAACAGATTGTGGCGCAAGATTCTTTCAAATGTGATACTCATTTTTTACTGATTGTGTATTCGACATCTACTTTGTTAAATAAATAGTTTATTACCATGTCAAAGATAGAAGAAATCTCATACGCGAAATAAAATCGAGAAAATACGAACTCGCTATTTTCTAAAAACAGATTCAAGATTTGAAGTTATCATAAAATATTATGCAGAGAACCAATCATCTGTAATTCGAAATTGTTGTCAATCTTTAAGATATTTAACGATATAAAACAGCGACTTTCTATTTAAATTTTTTAAATTTCTACTCCATATTGTGTTATTTTGTAGTTGAGACTCCGAGGACTATTTTTTAGTTTAAATAAAATAATTAACAATAAACCTCTATGTACTAATTTTCCGATAATATTTTCTTCGATATTAGAAAGTTTTTTTGTAAAAAAATCAAAGTAATATATATAACATACATATTATTGATATTCGTTTGTATTAAAATATTTCTAAAGTGTTTTTTCATTTATTGATTATATTAAGATATCTACGCATCTGTATAACATAGATATACAATAGGTGATTATAGATTGGTTAACTGCTATTGGCATGTTTTATTATCGTTTGGAAATCATCAGTATAGTATAGATTATCAATTATTCAAGGAAAAATTTCTAACATCAGTTTGTATTTTATTTTATTCGGGTTAATTCTATTAGAATAAATCTAATCTTTTAGATTTAAAGATTAAAGAATAAAATAATAATATTTTTGAAATAAAAAATTTCTTAAATAATTACGAAATTTCTCTTATCAGTTTCGGCGAATTATTTTTATTGTATACTTGCGAAATAATTATTTGACTTGTGAATTATATTCTTATAGAGATTATTCAGGAAAATTTCGAAATTTTTATTTTTTTCCATTGCATCATGTTGTTTGTATGTAATTCTCGGAGTACATCGTAGGCATACGCTTATATTATTACCCAATCACACTGTGCGCGTCACGATATTACGAAAAAGTTGTTATGACATTTTGTTTTTTATTTCTTTTTCTTTCTTCTGTTCTTTTTTTTTTCCCGTCAAAGAAAGAAGAAAAGAAAATAACGGCAAGTTTTTCTCTCATTGGGGTTTTTTTTTCTCTTTAATGATAGATATATATACGTTACATTAAACAGTATTTTCTTTATCTATCAAAAATGAACAACCAAATAGAAACTTACATTAATTATTTATTGGATACGAAGACAACATCCGAGATAGCGTTTATTGAAAATATTCAAAAAAATAATGAATTATTTCATATACGATATCTTGAGGATTGGAAAGCGACGGTTTTATGTAACTTACAACAGGTGCACCGGAATGGCGTCAAAGCTACATTGAATAATGTAGATAATGGTCATGAAGTAGAAAGTGACACGTCAGAAGACGAAGGAGTAGAAGAAAATCAATCAACATCATCAACATCATCATCAGAAGATGAAGAGGGACAGAATATCAAAGAACAAAAATCGATTCTTAATGTAAATATATTTTATATAATAAATATTTTTAATAATCTTATTATATTTAGATACAACATTCAAATAAACGAACAGATATTTATGTTGATATAATTCGGCAATGTCAACGACTTCTTCGACTTTTATATCATTGTCAACAACATTACAGTCATTTTACTGAACTCTATTATCAAAGTATTGAATTATGCATGAAAAGTGATAATGAGAAAATTGTTGCTATTGCTTTACAACAAATTGCATTACATATTTTTGAAAGTATAACTAATGAAAATGATTATCAACGTTTAGTTAAATTTCTACCATACACTTCTTCATCGAATCATCCAATTTTAAATATAATTCAAACACTTTTATCAACAAATAAAACTGAAATGAATACAACAAATTTTTTATCACAATACATTGAAATACTTTATCCACATACAGCTTATTTTCTGGATGTTCGTCAAGAATTTCGTGATACGGCTCATTATTTTATTGATGGAGATTCTTTATTATTATTTATTGCTCATCATACAAATGTTAATCTGAATTCATATTTTGGAAATACTCTTCATGTGATTTATCTTATTGAACGATTTTTTCTTGCACTTTATCAACAATCTCATCAATGTAATTATACAGTTATATTTTTTGATTGTCATTATCATATTTATCAACAAGGAAGTCCAATTCTTAGTCTACTTCGTACTTCTTTAATTGCTCATCTTTCTAAAAATGTTGAAAAACGTGGTGCAGTAAAAATACAACAATTCTCATCTTGGTTAGATAAAAATTATTTACAATATGTTCACGAAGAAAAACCAATGTTTATATTGTATCATAATATGTCAAGTTTCGATATGGAACATGATACACTTTTATCAAAAGATATTCTAGAGAAATTATTTTGTATATATCATATATTTGGTAATTATCATCAATATGTTATACAATGTCAACTTTATTTAATGAATAAATCAATATTAACAGAAACAACAGTTAAATTTTTTCATGTTCAATTTCAACGAATGTGTCCAAATAAATTATGTAATGATTTAATTCAAATAGGATCAATTAATGAACAATCTGTAAATGGTCATCATGAACGAAATTGGAATGAAATTGAACAATTATGTGAAAATGATATTCGACTTTTTCTTTATCTTAAAACTATAGGAGAATCAAGTGGAGAACCATTTATACCACTTTTAAGTCCATTACTTATTCTTCATGTAGCCCTTCTTATGCGATTATCATTATTCGATCGACATCTTCCATTCGCTATTCCATCAATTACATTTAGTGAAACATTTTCTCAAACTATCAAAAATTTTCAACAACGTCTTTCATCAAATCTATCAACAAATTCTTCATCTCTGTCACATGACAAAATTGCTGATCTATTCGATGGACGTCTTTTTATTTTCACACTTAATCAAATTCATCAATCATCGAATATTCGACTTGATTCAAAAACTAATGATATTGTTACTCAAAGTTTAAAAATATTAAATATTTCATCAAATGAAAATCTATTTCAAGATACTATCAAACAATTAATAGAATTAAATCATATTACTTTTTCTGCATCAACAGAAAAACAATTAACAACAACAACTACACAACAAAAAATTATCAGAATATCAAATCCTTTGGTTGATGCATTTATCAAACCTATTCTTTCTCCTAGTAATAAAGTACAATTAGATTTTGTTAATCCAGATGGTCGTCAATTGATTCAATATAAAGGTAAGTTTTATTATTTTTGTTTTAAATTTATTTCTAAAATAATTTTTATATTTTATAGATAAATGTTATTGGCAAACATATAAAGAAGTAAGTTTAATTTCTAATGAAGATAACCGATCGCTAGTCACTTATTAGTCACACAAAACACAAAAGTATTATTTTATCCTTGTGATAGAAATGCACCTATGCAAGGGCACTGAAAGGGAAGGACTCATTAGAAGGTAATATGACTAGAGAATATTTTTGATCTATACGCACATTGATGCATGACAGTAGAATGAAACGAGATGCAGATGGATTACAGATATATGATAATGTCATCTAAGAAGAACATACACCGCTACTTTCTTCTATTTAAAAAATCTGTAGTAGATAAGATGTGCCACCCAATTCGAAACGGTTAATAATAAGTATTTGTTAATTTTTCTAGGTAGGTGATGAAATCAGTCGTGTACGTGATAATTTTGCTGAACAACAGAATAAAGATAACCATCGTTATCGAACAAAAGCTCAACAGAAATTGTAAGTGTTAATCTTTGTATTGTTTCTTTTTTCTATAATGATTCAATTGTTTGTTTATTTCATAGA